ACGAACGTCCCTCAACCACGTGAGTCGACTGTTGGGCTTCGGACGGAGTACGTCAGAACTTTAAGACCGTCTGATCCTCGCCGTCTGTGGTGAAGAGGTGAAGGCAACCGGGGGACGTAGATCTCTCATTGGACGGCGCAAATTCTTTATTTTGAATATGTAGGAAGGGAATAGATACACTCTGGTTTATGAATGAAAGCTGGTGCTGAACATTGAATTCATATATAAATATTTTTTAGTCCAATCTGTGTTAGCCCATCTCTATAGTTTATTTCACTACTCTCCTTTGTTTTAATCTGCTCCTATTTCTTTGTATTGACACGTGATGCTGAGGACGCCAGCGCCATGCGTTCAGGATTTACGTGTTCGATGGAGCAGACGGACGTTCACCACAGTTTGTCAGCTGGAGACTGAAGCAAATACAAATGTCTGAATCCGCACAAAGGAAGAAAACAACAACAATTCATGTGTGCGAGTCGGTCTGTTCTCTTCGTGAACTTCCATATCTGTTCCTCTCATTATGTCCCAGTTGTCCTCCTCATCCATTCCCTTCTTTAAACATTGTGTCTGCATCTTTGTGTCGTCTTCTCCCTCACCTCTTTTCTGCGTCGACTCTAAACTCAGCTGACTGTGAATCTGCCTAAAAAGCACTTTATTCTTTGTTTGTCGTGCCCTTAAAATGTCACGCCATCCCCAGATATTCACCCCTCCCTTCAAAAACACACCAATAGTTTATTTGCTTGTCTTCGTTTCACAGTCTGACTCAATCTGTTGCAAATGTAGAGGGCAGACCGACTCAGAGAGCAGCAAACGGGTTGTCACTGAGTAAAACGTAAAGTGTGAGGCAGTGAAAGTCAAAACAAATAAGAGTCAGACGTGATTTATTCAACACTTTACAGCACACTCACTCTCACACACACACACACACACACACAGGTACAACATGTTGCATCAGCACCGCTCGGTGCTGGAGTCAGTCCCAGCACGACTCTACATCACCAGTTATAAACAACTGGACCACTAATGGGAAGCTGACACATCACCGATGTCTCAATACCTGGATGCTCTCATGTGTACAAACACACCGGTCCCATTTTTACTACCAACACGCCCCACCCCCACCCCCACCCCCAGTGGGATCTGTTCAAGTAGAGGATCAGTTTGATCGTTAAATTCTTGTTTTTAAGGTTGAATCAGTTTACCATCTCCACAGGGAGCATCTTAACATACTGCATCACTGTGTGGTATCTTAGCTGCACGGTGGATCAGAGGACAGTGCTCCAGAGAGTTATCAACACAGCCCAGAAGATCGTGGGCTGACCTCTCCTCTCACCAGAAGAAGCAAACACACACGTTGTTGTACTCAGGTGTAACGACAACAAAGGTCCATTCCATTCATCATAAATATAAAAACATGTAAATCTTTGTGGCCGACGTACGAGCGGTGGCTCCTAAACGAAAATATCAACTGGGTAGACATTAATTTCCTGAATTATTAACCGTACTAGTTTTACAAAATGCATAACATTTTCTGTTTATTTATTTATTTATTTGGTTCCCATCAGTCGTTGCCGTAACGATGGCTCCTCCTCCTGGGGTCTTCTGTGATAAAAATAAAATATAAAATGTGTTGCTTGATCTTTAATTGTTTTTTTTGTTTGTTTTTTTCTTCTTCATCCCGCAGGTCCAGGTGGTTTCGTGAAAAACAGTCCCGTTTAATAAATCAGATTCTGATCAGATCAGATCACATTCTGTCCATCCTCCTCCAGTTTTCTGTTCTGGTCCTCTCTATGGGCTCCAGATGGATTCAGACAGAACATCTCCACCAGAAGGTTCTGCTGCAGTGATTTCTGACTTCGAGCTCAGGTCATGTCATGTGTTAGTGGTCGTATCAACGTGCTAAAACCAGCCGAATGTGTCCACATGGCTGAAAATATGACACTCCGAACGAGACTGTACTGGAGCTGGACGTGTTCCGATTCGCTTGACCAACGAGTCGTGAACAGAACCAGAACCGCCCCATAACATAAATATGTAAATAACTGAGAATGAACCACTAACAATCCTTATAATTACATTTAAAGTTGTCAAAATTGTTGAAAAACAGTAAATGAGTAATTTACATGTTTTATTAGGAGGAACTACTTTGTGTGTGTGTGTGGGGGGGGGGGGGGGGGTGACCAGCTGGTTCCCTTTAATCTATTTGAGGATTGTGGAGTATCAGAAACAATGGGCTGTGGAGACGACAGGTCCAGGAGAGAACCAGACCTGCCCAGAGACACCCTCCATCTCCTCCTGGGGGTGTCCCCAAACCAGAGGACATAGGATCCTTCCAGAGAGTTCTGGGTCTGCCCCAGGGTCTTTCCCAAGCGGGACAGCCTGGAAAACCTCAAAAGGTGGCGTCCTAATCCTGAACCACCCAAACGGACTCTTCTCAACGCAGAGGAGCAGCTTCCCCAGATGATGAAGCTCCTCATCTCTAAGGCTGAGGCCGGTGACCCTCCACAGGAAGGCCTTCTCACCCTCGTGTGTCCAGGATCTCACCTCATGACCACAGACCAAACACTGACCAGTAAACCCAGTGTTGCCTTTTGACTCAACTCTTTCTTCACCCCAAAAGACCAAAGCAACGCTCTCATTACTAAAAACAAATCCATCCCATGTTATTCACCATAAACAAGATGCCCAGCTACTTTTCTAACTCCGTATTAAGTGAATCTCTTTGTAATTCTTTAATTCAGCGTTGGATGGAGGACAGTCGGCGTTTGTGCAGGAGGGGGATAATTCTTTCTGCTTCGTCTGCATGTTGGTTTTTCTCGGGACAAGTTATTGTGTTCATGTGAAGCCTGGTGTGACAAAGAAGTGTGGCAGTTGTTCACAGCTCACATTGTTGCTGCTTGATTCCACGTTTTGTCTGCATTGTTCACGCTAACGTTTTGTATTGTTGGATGAAATCTGCTCTCGTAGAACTGCACAGCAACAAAAAAACGTTCCAGTGAACGACTGGTTCTGTAAGGTTTAGTCAAAACTGGACAGATCCTTAATCATGCACAACTTGTTTTTAAAAAATGTATATATATATATGTAAACTGTTATAATCTTTTATGTTTTCTAAATGCCATAAAAACAACTGAAGCCATAAATAATAATAATAATAATAAAAAGGCTGGAAGACAGAAAAACCTTGCAAAGAGTGATGTTTTTGTTTCACATTATTTCACTTTTAATAAACCCACGTTTATTTTTCCCACTTTCTCCTCCGTCCCCAACTTCACCTTCACCAGGTGTGGGCAGGAAGAGTCCTTTAGGATGATTCAATGTCTAACCAGCAGCAAGACATGGATGTATGGTACTTTAGATACAGCCGCCTGTGATTCATTGCAGTCCAAGCACTTTGTGTTACTGATGTTCACTGATACTGCACTAACAAGAAATTAACAACATGCAGCTGCCGGAGATGTTCTGGTCAAAGGTTATGGATGTTTTAATAAAAACATTCTTCCCCTGAGAACAAACAGCCGAACTGTCTCCAGAAACGTTCTCTCATCCTGAACTGGAGATGCTCGGGCGGTGAAGGCCAACAGCGCCATGACAGACTCCAGCTGGCTGCGTGGACACCCACTGAGCCACAGTACACCTGCTGAACTGATAACGGTATAAAAGTGAGCGGATGACGCAGCTTCTCATGTGTACACATCTTTGTATATGATATATGTATATTTATGTAACCTCTCCTGAAAACCTGACCTTGCAAGTATAAGTACTAGTTCAAAACCTCCTCCTGCCGTCGAGTGCGCTTCTTTTGGGTAAACAACGTTAGAGATTTTCTCCAGCTCTAATAAAAGATATACCTTTAACAAAAACATTAGTGGGTGTTGCATAAAAATTAATTTTATTTTAGTGTTGATGATAAAGTTCAACGCTTTGACAATTGTTTAAGGTTCCTTATTAAAAAAGCAAAAAAGAAGAAGGCAGGAGCACAGCAATGTCCCCATCTCTGAGGGCAGTGGATGTTTGTAGTTTTTGAGAGGAGTGTTTTTCTTGACTGGAATTGAACGGTGAATGTGAATAAACCTAAATGTTGTTGGTGCACGACATTCAAGTGGGGAGGAGTGAAACTGTGGAGAAGAAGGACGGAGGAGCTTTGGTTTGTTCTTGTCTGAGGCGGCGCAGAGCGGCAGATCTTGATGAGTGGAGGGAACGAATTTATCCATCTCCATGTGCAAGGGTGGAGCCAGGGGGTGGCCAATGGTGGCCAAGGCCACCATAGATCAATTACAACCCCCCACCCCCCAAAATAAATAAATAAATTTAAACAGAGGAAACTATACTTATAGGCAATATAAAGGCTAGAAAGCAGAATTTTCTCAAATGATGGGGATGGTCAGTTTGCATAATGGTGGCCATCTTGGATTCTGATGTGACAACCAGTTTTTGAAAGGAAGCTTTTTTTATACGTAGCTGTAACCACGCACCAAAATGGAGGTCGGCACCTCACTTGTTTTGAAAGTCGTCTTGCTCACAACATGCACAGATGGATTTCCATTCCCCATCTTGGCTCCGCGGCAGAGGACAACAAAAGACCGTGGCTTCTAACTGCAAACCTTTAGAAACAAGTGTGAAGAACGCTGATGCAGCTACTAGATGTACTTTGTTTCTTTAACTTGAAACTGATTCATTGGGGGGTGGGGGGGGGCCTAATGTGATGTTGTGTTTCAACAGTCGGTTCTTTATCGTGTTGTTGCATGCAGAACACAGAGGAGTCCAACCACAGTCAGCAACACTCAAAGCAGAGCAGACATGCAAACAAATGAAGATGGAGGCGGTGAAAAGAAACGACAACCGAAGAGCCAAAACCGTAAAATCAAAATACAAAGATGGAGGAAGGGGCAGTGGAGGGAGGAAACAACCAAAATGAAAGTGTGTCTTGCGTCATGTTTATGGCAGTTTTGTGACATAACACGGGGAAGAAGATATTCTGCCTCTGAAGCAATAATCACCTTCGCTTGGGATGACTAGAATGTACGGCGTTGTTATTTGTCCCCTACCTATTACCACTAAGGCCAAGGGCCGCACGTCCCCGCCGGAAAGCATGAGAGAGAGAGAGAGAGAAAACAAACAACAAAAAGGAAAAAGAAAGAAAAAAGTCTAAGAAAAGAGATAATAGTGAATTATTTATCCATTCCATTAAAGCTGCCTGCTTTAAACTGGAGCGGAGACGGCTCTCCGCTCAGATCCGTCTGGGAACGAACAGCTGGACGTCACCTGGAAAGGCCGGACAGATGTGCTGAATATGTTCACGAGTAAAGAATGGTCAGTGAATGCAGCGTGGGGCCTTCTGAGTCAGTCGGGTTAATACAAATTAACGGGAGCAGAAAATGGAGGGAAACACAAATAAAGAGATGGTCAAAGAAATAAAGGAAAAACTTTGTGGCCTAAAAGTTGAGCAAGAAACCTGGCGTCCATGTTCTGCTGTCGAACCAAGACCGTGACGCAGCCTGCTAATTTATAAACATTTCTTTAAGCTGATGTTGTAAGAAAAAATACAGTTTTCTTTCATTTTTCCGTTCAATTGTTTTTAAGTATTGAGGCAAACAGCTGGCTCCAGGTGGTTTGTTCACGTCTTTAAAACAATATATTGGTATAAAAATACATTTTATTTCAGAGCAAAGTGTGAATTTGACACGTGGAAACGCTGAGTCAGCATTTTCTCCTGTTTATTTCATACCTATAAACTATTTCTGAAGTCTTCGTACCATTTTGACCACTCGTGCTTTAAAACGCTCTGCTCAGGGCAGGAGAGGCTACGAGCTTAGACTTTAATTAATTTTACTCGTTTCAAAATATTCAACGTTATTTAAAATGAAATAAGTCCAACAGGAAGTTCAAGTTTCTTTTTCTCTTTAAAATTGGACTCAACAAATCGGCTCTTTTTGGTCATCTGATGCTACTTTTAGCTACTTTAAGCTTGAAGCTATTGTTATCCTCTTAATATTTTAGCTAATTTTACTTAATGATTTTAGCTTTGATTTTTATTTAGCTTCAAATTTGTTGATAAAATCTGTTATATTAATTTTAGCACAGCTTTGCTAATTTAAGCTATTGTTTTACAAACGACATCTTTAGCATGTCTTTTGATAATTTTAGCAACTGTTCTGTTGTTTTAACCCTTTAGCTAAGTTTTGCTATTTTTAGCAATTGCTTTGCTGTTTTTAGTTTTGATATACATTTTGCTAATTTTTTTCTAAAATTAGAATCTGTTTTAATTGCTTGTTTTAGCATTGTTTTGCTAATTTAAGTTGCTGTTGTTTCGGCTGCATCTTTAGCATGTTTTGTTATTTGTAGCTACTGTTCTGCTTCTCTTACCCTTCAGCTGTGTTGCTTATTGCTTTTCTGCTTTAGGTTTAGCATCTGCTCTGCTGCTTTAAGTTGTGGTTTTGCTGATATCAGCATAACTTTTGCTAAATTTTGGTTCATTTTCCAGTTTCATAGTATTTTTTTAGCTTCTAGCTATTGTTCAGGTGCTTTGTTTTTAGCTAATGTTCTTGTCATTTCAGTCTTTGTTGTGCTTGTTCTTGCTTTAACAAAGTTTTAGCTTCTTCAGCTAATTTAACCAAAGTCATTCAGCCTTCATGATGCATTTTCACAGAAAATGCACTTTCTCTGAATAACAAGAAACAAACAACGTGTCAAATGAGAATTACTGAGGAACGTGTCCTGATGCTGCTCAATAATCAATAATCCAGGTGGAACAAGCTAAAAAAGTTAAGTCTGGTCCTCTGGACGTTCAAAAAACAAAAAGCTGAGGAACATGAAAACGCTGCTTTGGTCACACTTTGCTTTTTATTTTCAGGAGACAGAAATGTTAAAGACTTGCTCAGCTTTCATATCCTGCATCAAATAAAACGACTGTTTTGTATATTTAAAGTTTCAGGTGAGTTCTTCAGGTGTGCAGGAATAATCTCTCTGGTTAAACTCAGCTCTTCACTTTTCCAAAGAACCAGGTTTTATGTTACCAGTACAGTCAGTCACCCTAACAATATAAAGAACAATGCAGTTTAATTTTAACATGAAGACATGGATTTGTTGACGGCATCAACAATACTTGACATGCAGCATCAAAGGGAGGTTCTTTAAAATCCCTAAACTTCATCATTATTCTTCAGAAACAGTTCATGATTCTCACATTAATGTCTGCCACTCTGAAAATAATTATTTTCTTCTACATAAAATATTTAATTTAAAAAACTGGAACAAATGATAAAACTGTCCCTTCCACGTGCAAAGCTTTGTCTCATTATTCGTCTCCATGACGACTTTAGAAATCAAACAGGAAGCAGAAATTAAACTGGAGTCAAACTGACGGTCGGTTAAAGTGAAATGTGTCCGAGGTCCGAACAGAGACCCACAACGAGCGTGGAGCGACCCAGGAGTACCGCAGGGCAACCACAAACTGGATCTGTGCACATGAGGACGTGTCCTCAGAAAGACAAAGGACTCTCCACCAGAGGAAGCATCAGTGCACGAATCACTGTGAGAAGAGTTCTGTCTTTTATGACACAAACTAAGCTTTAAAACTGCAGTTTTACTTCGATGCTAAAGGTTTCTGCTCATATTTGGTTTAATTAGAGTATTAATCACCAATAGGAGTCCCTTTCTCCCGTTCTTCCATCATTAATGTTCTGCGGCTTTAATTTGGATAAAACCACATTTTCTTTGTTTCGGTCCATTTGTTCCTCGGTTTCTGACAATAACTCACATTCATAAATTTTATTCCAACTACAGCTAATCTGCCAAATTCACAGATTAGAAGTGACCTTTTCTGCTAAAATCCATCGCTGTAAATACATTGATAATGCTATAAATGAATATTCAATATCATTTGATATCACAATAAATACGCTGATATAAAGGAATAAATTGTGACATACATAAAAGTGCATTTAAAGTGATTTTTTAAAGCTGGTTTTGTAGGAATTTTAAAGTCATCAAAAGCTGTTGTTTTAAACCAAAAAGCCACAAAGTAAAAATAAAAATAAAAAACATGTCTTGTCTCAAGCACGCGTACATGCAGACAATCAGAGCGCTGCGTTTACACGCCCAAATTACTTAGCACTCGGGAAAAACCTCGGTGAAAGAGATGAAGAGAAAAAAGGAGATATAAAAGAGAGAAATGTGCACAAATGAGCAATAAAGGCTTGATGTAGTGTAGATGAGCCTGAAAGAGCGCGGAGATGTGGAAAAATCAAATCAATGCCTGATGCAGATGAAAAATTGGACAGAAAAAAAGAGAAGGTGAGAGAAATCGATAGCGAGCCTGAAAAGCTTTCGAACACATCGACTCGCACACAAATGGAGCGTTAGCAAAAGATGAGCAGCAAATAAAGAGCGGAGACATGGAGAGGGCAAGACGGAGCAGGAAGAAACCTCCTGCATCCGTCCCGTCAGGGTCTGAAGATGGACACGTGACTCTGAGGGAGGCCTTTAAACCTCGGGGGGGCTCAGGAGGGACAACGTGAGGAAACAGGAGGTGCACATGAAGGGGAGGCTGTGCGTGAAGACCATGCAGGGTGACATGGCTGGGATTAGTTGACCTCTGTCAGTAGTTTGTGATTTAATCTAGGGGTCGTGATGTTCTGCAGATAATCTTCACTGAGGAGGTCCAGAGTGGAGTCAGGAGCGAGAGTCGTGATAAAACAGACAAACATGACTGAGGTGTGGCTCAGTAGAACGGTGCTCATACCTTTGCGGGCCAGGCGGATGCAGTTGATTTTAGTTTCCTGAAAGATAAAAAATATATATTTTATTGAAATGATAATGTTTTTCCAAACGTTTCGGTGTTCAGCAACAAAATGACTCAGAAATATACAAACACAACTCACAAACCGTTAAACATAGCCCCTCGTCGTATTATCCATTTATCTACTTACACCCACCGTTTTATAAACTGCAACAGTAAAGGCCGCCGGCGCATTTTATTTCTGTAGAGTTCTGAGGCCATCTGCGTAGAGACCACGACTCACGGTGGGGGTCCCATGTCAACTTGTGAACCACTGGATTACATTGATCTCACACATTTTAGCTTGAATCTGAAAAGTTTTCCTAAAAATGTGTTTTTCAAACGACCAGACTGACGGGTCATTGAACAAACAGGCAGGTTTGAGCTCAGGTTAGTTTAACAGAGGTGTAACAGCAGCTGGTTGACTTGAAGCCCAGACCACTTGGTTCTGTCGTTAATGAGACCGAGCCGAGTACACGACATCGCACTTTGACGCGTTTTGGTTTCATCTAAAGAGAGAAACGTTTAGTCAACAAAGAGAGCAGTCCGCAATAATCTTATTTGTCTGAAATGGATTGAATAATTTAAGATCAATGGGCTTTTCATTTCCTGGATGAGCTGAAGGAAAACACTCATTCAATATTTGTTTACTCTGTTTCAAGACTACAGCGTTTTGTTGTATTAACAATAAAACTGTTTTATCCATTTTACACACGGAGGAGTTTCTCATCAAGGGTTTACAACCGTTCATATATTCGTTATGTAGAAACTCTCAGATTTAATCTGATGATGGAACATGAACATCTCTGCGGGTCACAGACTCCGTCCGATCTGCGTCGGTCTTAGCTCAGTGGATTCATTCAGTCCCGTCACTCTCTCTCTGATGGGCTGTCAACGCCCAAAGTGGCGTGTTCTTTCATTCCTTCAGAGCTCCGCCCCCTCACGATGTGCCGTCACCAGCAGGTGAACTCGTCTCACACACCTGTCGTGGAGATAGCGGCCTCCATCACGTCGGTCCGTTTGTCCCAACAGAGAAGAGGCTCCAGCTGCTGCTGCATTTTTCACGTCACGCCAGCATTAAAACTAAACCACTCCCACTTTTACGTTCTCCTGAAGCAATGCTTTATGGGTAATATTGAATACTACTCTTTAGCTGCTTAAAACTATAAATAAGCAGTCCTGTTTTGAACAAATGATGCTCCACGAGGCTGAGTTTTATTTTCTGAAGGGTTTCTCTGAGAAACGGGCAGGCCAAAGATAAATGTCTAGATTAGGTCGTTTCAGCCGACATCCTCAGAGAGTGCAGTAAAAACAAGACCACGTTCTGCACCGCAGGAACTTTTCAGTCTTTACTGTGAAGTTTGTCTCAGTGTTCAGAGAGAAAGAAGGATGAATGATGGATGTTTAATGATCATCTCTCCAGAAGAGTAAACACACCTGCTTCCACTGTGCCTGCCTGTCAAACAAACGGCTGACTGGACCCGTCCGCTTCAGAACCATCTTCATCGGACTGCCTCGTTGGCTTCTGTTTGCAGTTGGATGTAGTCAACCTCCGCAAACCTCCACAATAATTAGTGTGTTCCTCAGTGAAGATAACAGGGTATGCATACCACTAATTAGAAGTTAATTACTTAATGACACCCTGAACTAGCTATTATTGTACCTAATTAATTTTGTGCAATATCTGCATGTGGTTTCTTAGCACGGGGTGTGCTCATGTGGAGTTAGAAATGTCTTGTGGACCTTTACTTCAGACCAAATGGTTTGTTGTTTCCAGTGATCAAAAGCATGACACATGTAAAAAAATGGCACCATAACCTGAAAACTGGCCCTCACATCTTCACCTGTTCATGGTCTTAAGGGTGAAGGACAATAAACGGCTTTAAATTGATGCATAAAAAACTGACGAGCAACGTTCCCTCCACTGCTGGTTCCAAGCATTTCATGGAAATACGATTCCCTGAGGATTCCCTAAAATTCCACAAGTAAATCTGGAAATTTCAGGAGGAAGTTCAATCTAATGGTAAGGCCAGTCCTTAGTGTTGGGGGGGAGTCAGAGAGTGATTTAACACTTAAGCGTTACAAGTTCTGAAAGGATGTACTGCACACACTGTACGAACAGAACATAGACCTACAGCATCTTGAGCAGGAAGGTCCAGACATCTCTCTCCACAGCCTCTTCCAGCGCTTCTGGGAGGACTCCAAGGTGTTCCCAGAACAACAGAGAGACGTAGTATCTCCAGCGTGTCCTGGGACTTCCCCGGGGTCTCTTCTCAGTCAAACATGCCCAAAGCACCTCCTTAGGGAGGTCCCCAGGGAGCATCCTTACCAGATGTCCGAACCACCTCAATTGGCTCCACTGGATGTGGAGGAGCACCAGTTCTACTCTGAGTCTCTCCTGATAACTGAACTTCTCCCCCCGTCTCTAAGAGAGAGTCCAGCTACCCTGCAGAGGAAACTCATTTCAACCTCCTGGATCCATGATCTCATTATTTCAGTCTCTACCAGAGTTCATGACCAGAGGTGAGGGGAGGAACGTAGACCGACCGGTGAACAGAGAGCTTTGCCTTACAGCTCAGCTCCCTTTTCACCACAATGGACCGGCACAGATTTCACAACACAACATACACTGCACCAACCTGTCAATCTCAAGCTCCATTCTTCCCTCATTTGTGAACAAAACCCTGAGATACTTGAACTCTTCCACTAGAGGCAGAACCTCATCCTCAACCTGAAGAGAACAATCCACCCTTTTCTAACTGAGGCAAACAGAAATGATTTATTAGAAGAGAAAATTGATTGTTGTCAGACAATCAGCTGAGCTTCATTATACCTTCACTGATCACCTAACAAACATTACACAAGACTTGAATAGGCTTTACCCCTCTCCCCCTAACAAGAACTGGACCATCTAAGGACCCTTACAAGAACCCGTATGGTGTTCACGCAGGCGTTTATTTCTCGTGATTTTAACCATATTCACCCTAACCAGCCTGATCTTCAGTCTCGTCCTTTTAATTATAATATTTCTTATTTAAAACTTCCAACTCCAGCACTGAACCATTTCACCAAAAGTAAATGTTAAATACTTTGTGTCCAACTTTCTAATGAGCACTGAAGAAATATTACTAGTTCCCTGAAAACCACTTTTATTTTCCACTCCTTGCCTGTAATTTGTACTGGTTATCACCCATTTAAAGGCTTGGTTAGTTCTGGATTCACAGTCAGTGCACAGAAGCAGAGTTTTATGCTAATGGGCTAAACCTCAGTTTAAAAATAATGAATGTTACCACATTCAAGTCCAATTTACTGCCATGCGTTCATACACAGATACCAGAGGAGGACAGCTGCTCGGACACATTTTACTATTTATAAATGATATTAAACTTTAATGTACTGGAGGTGAAGCTGGAGTTTCTCTCTGTTCATCTTTCTTGGATTATTTATTTCCTAATCAGAGTTTGTTGAGTTAGTGTTTTGTCCAACCATAAGTAGGTTTGTGTTGGACTTTGATGAGGTCTAAAAGAACTCCTGAAAAGCACCGGGAGCTTCTGGGTTCATTTGTTTCTCTAAAGGTTTTTACTGGAGCTCCATTTTAACAAACACTCAACACTTCCATTTAAAAAAGTCACGACAGGTCTACAACTACAGAGCCATTCTTCTGCAGAAAACTGTGCAGAAATTTGCAGGCATTTGCCCATAAAGCAGAGTTAGAGGTACCCCACCCCCCAGCAGGAAGAATAAAAAGCATGTTGGGATTCTGGAGCCATCTGAGTGCATCGTGATTGACACAGGCTGTCAGTTGGTAAAATCTTTTTCCTTGAAAACCCAGAACTGGCACTCTGAGGTTTGTCTGGTGTGTGCGTGGGTGGGGGTGGGTGGTGGTGGGGGGGTGACATTGATTGTCAGAGTACCTTGGCCAACCCCTGAGGCTTTTTACTTGTCAAGAAAGGTGTCTGGCTGCATTTTTCACAGCGTGGAGGAGCATGTTTCCCCATGCGTGCCACAGTCTCCTTTTGTTTTGTGCCATTTCTTGCCCCATTTCTTTCCATCTTCTTCTCCACAATCTTTCCCCTCTAATAACCCCCACCACCACCACTAACCCCCCCCCCCCCCCCACCCACAACCACCACCATCTAGTTTTACCCTTCCCCAGCAGCTCTCAGGTTTTCATCAAACATCGTCATTTTCTTCCATCTTTCACTTTATTTGAATCTCTAGTTCTGCATTTCAGTCATTTTTCGAATGTCAGATGTTTTGAAGAGACAACATATTGTGCAAAAGTTTTAAACCACTCACTGTTCTCTCATTTTGTCTTGAAGCAGTCAGACAGATGTCTTGATCAACAGTTCTCCAGACTTTCTGAATGTTTTAAGACATTTCTATGACTCAAGACCTCTAATAAAAGTTTTTTGGGTTTTTTTTTTACACAAAACTGAGTGAACCATGAAGCCGTTTCCTTTCATGGCTGGTCTTCAGTTCTCACATCGACCCACTGGGCCTCACAAAAGAAGACTTTCCATTCAGCTCTTTGCAGTCACAGTAACTCCTAACCTTCTAAAAAGCATTAAAATGCTGCAAAAACCTTTAAATTGTGCAGAGATTAAAGGTGCACAACACTTAACTACAGTAATATAAATGGAAAAGCATATTTAAGTAAAGGAGATAAAATATCACGTCTGACAAAGAAACTAAAGCATGTGATTCTAAGGTTAGTTTGTGTGTGTGTAGAGTGATGTATGCGTGTGTGTGTGTGTGTGTAGTAGAGAGCTGTATGAATGTGTGTGTGTAGTAGAGTGATGTATGAATGTGTGTGTAGTAGAGTGATGTATGAATGTGTGTGT